ATCACATAAAGAAAGATATACTAAAATATGACTATCACTGCCAGCTAATCTCTATGAGAAATAATTTGTTGTTTAGTTGACGTTGGAGAAAGGAGAAGCGAGTCCAGTCCAGGATTTGATGGTGAGATCTGCATTGAATCATCTCTTTTTTAATATGCTCAATGTTCTCCCTGACTTTTCTTAAGCGTTTTTTCCCCCACGAAGATAGGTAATGACCACATTTGGCAATTTTCAGGTCAACTTTGTTGGAGGGAAATGGATCCCAACTGAGATTAACAGCTCGAGTTAAGTCCGGATCTTCTAGCCACATGTTTTCAAAACGAAAATGAGAGGAAATAGAGTTAGTTTGAAAATCATTCAGCTTAAGCCATATAGGGGTATGGTCAGACTTGCCAGCTATTCCATTACGTAAGGAGCTATCAGGGAAGGTATGCTTCCAGTTAGGGGTAACCATTGCACGGTCCAAGCGTTCCTCAACCAGGTCTGGGGGGGCTTTACCACGTCTCCAAGTGTAAGGATACCCCTCTAGAGGAATATCCAGCAGGTTGCATTCAAGAGTAGTTTGGCGAAAACCATTGATGAGGTAAGCAGGATGTTGGGTCTTGCCTTTCTTTTCCCGCATGTCCAAGATGTCGTTGAAATCACCAACCAGACACCAAGGAAGATTAGATAGTTTGGCCAGATCTTTAATCATCTCCCACGAATTCTTCCTTCTCCACCGCTCAGGGAACCCGTAAAATCCTGTCAAACGCCAAAGAATGTTATCATTCTGATTGACTACAACATCAATATAATTAGAAGAGTGATTTTTAATAGAAATTTTGAAAGAGTCATTCCAAAAAAGAGCGAGCCCTCCCCCTCTATTAGCACTCTCAACAGAGAATGCATGGGGGAATTTTAGACGAATGCGAATATCCTCCACTTTGGTGTTATTTACCATAGTTTCACATAAAAAAGAATATCAGGTTTGTACGAGTGGAGGAGGTCTTTAAGGATTGGAATTGCACGAGGGTGACCAATGCCACGACAATTCCAACTAAGAACACTCATAACCCCTGGCAGCCCTGGGTGCCGTACGAGTGGAGGAGGTCTTTAAGGATTGGAATTGCACGAGGGTGACCAATGCCACGACAATTCCAACTAAGAACACTCATAACCCCTGGCAGCCCTGGGTGCCAGGGACTGCCGATAAAAAATGAAATCTTTGTGAATCGTTTTCCTCGTCAACGATGGAATGGGTTGGGTTTTCTTTTAATTGTTTTGGTATTCCTTCTTGGTCTCTTCTTCTTTTCTTGTCCAGGACTGAATTGCTTTCAGTTTTTGCATCTTGATGATGATCAACTTCTGGGCCATTATGGGGGGCGTCTAAGTGCGTGATGATTTTATCATCTTTGTTGATTTCATATCTTAGCCATTTGGCTCCACCATAGTTTCCTTGTTGGCGTAAAGTAGCTCTAAGAGAGGCATCCCAGTTTCGAGTTTCGTCATCAACCTGAGAATCAAAAAGCTTCCTGCAAAAAGAATCGTTATGCCCCAAGAAACCACAAAAGTAACAGAATTGACCAAGTCTTTCATATTTAAAATTAACAGTTTTCCACTCTTCTCCAGGGTTTTTGATTTTCTTTTCTTTTAGTATAGGTTTCCTAATGTCAAGGTTGACTCTGATTCGCATGTACGCTTTCCAGAAGCTAGTATTATGCTTTTCATCGTAGGCAAGGTATTCTCCTATTGCATTTCCAAGGAGTTTGCCAACTTCCTGTGACATAAATCCGGCAGGGAGGTTGTGCACTTGAACCCAAACAGGTATGTGGAATAGGGGGACTTCTGTAGGGATTTCACCTCTATGGATTTTGCTTAAGATCAGCATGTTGTTATCAAATGACCAGGGACCTCCTTCGTATATGCGATTGAAGTCAAGAATGTGAAAGAATTGGAATAGAAAAATATTCGTTTGGATTTCCGATATTGAGACGCCTTTTACCGGTCGCCATATACTGGCCATCCTATCTTTCATGATCATCGTGCGAATCGTTCTTTCCGTAAGGAACCTTCCAACGAGGCTGAGATGAATGAGGGAGTTTGCTTCAGCGTCTATGGGTCTTGGGATGATGAGGCCATCATCTTCAGTGTCCATGTGTTCATCCATGGCAAAAGGAAATGTTAGCGCCGCTGGTTAAGAAAGGAGGGGAAGGGAAGACTTCTGTGAAGACAGGTTGAGGTACGTAACATGGCATACAATCATGCAGACACCTCACGTAGCAAGACGGAGGGAGAGAGTGATAACTATTCAAAAAAACGAGTAATTCAAGATGATTTGATACTTCATTCTTGTAAAATAAAATTGACGTAATATATACATTTTAAAATATACTAAAATATGAATTCTTTGATTACCTTCAAGTTGTTGTTCAATTTTAACAAAATTTGATATAAACATATAAAGTGATATGAACTTTCAATCTAACGGTTGAATTTACAATATTCACATTTAATATAACATTATTGAGTGGTGTAATACTTATTAAAAGTTACACTAGTGTTATTCCAGCCCTTATCATTTTAAAAAATATAAATTATTATTTAAACTTTTAAATTTATAATAATTAATTTAAATTGTATCATAATATTAATTTTAAATAGAAATAAGTAGATTGTTAATTATACAAGTAAGTATATATATAAATAAATATTAATTAAATATAATATAAT